GGGAGAAACGGGGCGGGTGTTACCGTGCTGGGACGGGGCAGGCCGCCGAGGCCGGGGATACGGCCTTCTCCATGGCGCCGCTGGGCACGAGGGGTCGGAGGGGAGGCGCTTACGACTGGACGGGCGCGACTTTGAGGGGGGTTCACAATGCCACGAAAATAGACGCACGAACATGAGCCTGCGCCCGAACATGTGCAGCAGGATTATAGGCGCAAATTTGTTGTGTACCGTTACATTGTTGTCGGCCAGAAGGTCGACAACAGGGGGGTTAGTATGCTACGGTGCACCTTCTGCAATAAGGTGTTTCAGGGAACCCAATTCTACGCAACGAAACACTTCACCCAACAGAATTATTGCAAGAAGGTGTCCGACGATGCATTGTACCAGATTGCGCAGAAATGCACACACCGCTTCGAGGCCAATCAGGTAGAGAGGGTGCGGCGGTTCGCACACGAGCGTGGTCTCGATGTCCCGCGGTCTGGTGCGATGGGTGGCGAGGCGGAGCGTCCTGCACAGGGCGTGGGCGAGGGAGAGGATACCGAGCGTTACGCGGAGGGAGGTGTTGCGAGATATGGGGAGGGTGCGGGTGCCGCGGAGGAGGACGAGGCAGACGTTGACCTCGAGGTTGGCATGGCTGAGGGGGAGCGGACACCGAGGGGAGAGGGGGGAGTGCCGAAGTCCGATCCGATGGCTCGTCAGAGGACGGTGGACAGGGAGCGGAGGTGCGGGAAGAAGCCCGTCCCGCCTGAGACGGCATGCACGTCGAGTTTTTCGAAGAGTGCTGTTCCTGATAGAGCATGCACGCTGGGTTCTTCGAAGAGGAAGGAGCGGGGTGCACATCTTTCTGCCACCAATGCAGGGAAGAGGCTGCGGCAACAGAAAATAATGGACACGTATGGTGGCGAGTGGATTGGTCAGTGGAGGAAGGCATTCTTTCGCTGGGTGTATTCCAGCGGGATTGCCCTCAATGCCTTCCGCAACACGCTGTATCGGGACCTCCAACAGGTTGCTTTTCGGCAACCTGGTGGAGCACCTCTTCCCGTGCTTACATCCCACAGTGAGATCGCAAGCATGCTAGCTGTGGAGATCCACCGCGAGGAGTTGGCGGAGGAGTTGGAGGAGGTTAGGCAGCCATTATGGGTGAGTGGCGCCACCCTCCTCTCTGACGGGAGGAAGTCACGAGAAGGGCGACCGATCGTGAGCTTCCTCGCAGATGGGTCTCGAGGGATCGTCATATACACGACGATCAACCGAGAGGGGGAGCCGGATGATGCGGTGCACGTCTTGTAGAGATGGGTCGCCATCTTTCACGGTTTCAGATTCGGTGGCCCACAGCGGGTCAATGCTATATGCACCGACTCCGCCTCTGCATACGTGGGGGCTGCGAGGGCTTTGGCCTCGCCATCTATGCCCCCTGAGCCTGAGGAGGATCACTTGGCTCCCATGCTTCGTCCATGTCTGCAAAAAGTTGTTGTCAGACATTGGCACGATTTGCACCTCTTTCGTGGACACGATCACCCGTGCCCGAGTTCTGGTGGTGTTTTTCAAAACCCACCAGGCCGCTCTCAGCTTCTTTCGGAAGCGGAGCAAGGCGTTGGGGCTCGTGCTTTCATGCGAGACGCGCTTTGCGTCCGTGTACTCCATGTTGGAGAGGCTGCTAGCTCTGCAGGATCGTTTGCGTGATCCCATTGGGTCTTCTGCGCCGCCCCTTGTTGAGTCTGTTTTCGGTGCTCATGCAACTATCTTCGGCGTGCTGCCATCAGAGGTTGAGAGAGAGGACGACGTGGTGAGGACGCAGGTTGAGAGAGAGGAGGGCATGGCAGGGGTAGATGATGGTGATGCCCAGGTTGAGATAGAGGAGGACGTGGTGAGGGCAGATGCTGCTGTGTTGGTTGGGGGAGAGGAGGGTGTGGTAGGGGGGGGCGTCGCCCATGGTAGAAGAGAGGGAGGGGACGACCTTGACCCGATCATCCAGCGTTTCGTCGATGACGAGATGGGTCCCACACTAGCGGGTTTGACCCCGGGCACGAGGAGGGCACTGGGGGCGTCGCCATCAGGACAGAGGGGGGTGTCAGGGCTGGGGATGGGGGATTTCATGGACATGTCTTTGGGGGATCCTCCCAACCCTAGTCACACACAGAGAGAGGATATGGCGCGTGCCCTAGCGGCCGCTGGGTACTCCACAGAAGAGATCGAGCAGGCATTTGCAGGACGCTCCGGGAGAGAGACAGACACGCTTCAGCAAGGGTGCGAGGAGGTAGTAGAGCAGCCACAGGAGGAGCATGAGGATGCACCCGCTGCAGATATCCCCGGAGGTAGAAGTTCGTTGGTACCGTTCACGGGCTTGCAGATGACGACGACAATGCGGCCAGTTCGACCGTGTGTACAGGGTTCAGGTCCTGGGGAGGTGGCATCTGTTCAGGTACCACCGCTCATAGTCGTGGATTTCGGATCTGAGTCAGCGCTTCATACACCGGTTACTGGGCGGCGAGCTCGTCAGGATACAGCTCGCCCATTGGATTTCGCGGAGCTCGCACGGGCTGCTCTGCGTGATGTGACACGGCAGGAGGACACCGACCATAGCAGACCACTCATGCCTCCTCCTCCTCCGAGATCACTTCACAGCGATTCCCCCTCGACACCAGTCGGTCGCCCCCCCCCTTCACCATCCATGCCCACCAGACCCAAGGTTCGTGACATGACGGCCGTAGGGAGCCTCCCTCTTGACATGTCGCTATTCGGGAGCACGGACATCGACCTGGACTCCATGCGTCGGGTCACAGTGCACACTGCACGACAGCAGCCAGGTTTGGGTGGGGATGACACCGGGAGGGGTGCACCGAGGGAGGTCATGGCGGCAGTATCTCAGCCGCGACATGTTTGTGGGGTTGGAGAGGGCGGGTGTACCTTGCAGGCCGCTTTGGCAGCAGCAGCACATGCTGTGCATGACCAGACTTCGCGCAGGAGCGGAGTAGCTCGTCCGCGTCTCATGCCTGCCGCGGTGGGTGCCTCATTGGAGGAGTCTTCTGAAGCCGAAGGGTTGGGGATGGCGCGCGGTTCACGTCGTGAGAAGACAGTCGCAGAGGTGACTCAGGTGAGTGCTAGGCTTGTTCGGGTGAGGACGGGGGCTGACCCTGTGACCGTGGTGGAGGATGATCCCGAGACGGAGCCTGAACGTGAGGAGGCCCCACAAGAGGGTGACGAGTACAGGGACGACGAGGAGCGTGAGGAGGAGGAGAGCGACAGCGGGGATGATGACAGCTACCACGACGACGACGAGCCCTCCCCTCCACCGCGGTATGGTTCTCGTAAACGACGTGGCTCTCGTAGACGACACGATGACGTCGACGACCCGTCCCCTCCAGGGCGGCGGGAGGCGAGGAGTCAGAGGAGGCGAGGGTCATCCGTTGCGACAGCGCCGGGGCGAGGGAGTGTTTCATCGACATGCAACACGAGTGGGGAGAGGCAGAGAGACAGTGGTAAGGGGAAGGGAGGTCGACGGTATTGACAACTTCGTTCCCCTTCCACGACGCCTTTATGTTGTTTGTGCTCAGTGTTCTGACGTTTTTGTATATTGTTTAGGATGATGTACATATAGTTACGTTTTAGGAACTTGGGACAAGTTCATGGACTTCAGCATGCAGGTAGTGTTGTCGAGAGTGTTTGTTTGTTTCGTTTTTCGGTTTATGTACGACGTTTTCATATTGTTTTTTAGTTATTTGGTTTTTGTTGGAGTTGGGACTTCATTCTGACTTGTCGTATTGCGTAGATGTTTCTTAGGGTTTTCTTTTCAGCTTTGTTAGTTAGCTGTGTAAACTGCATCCCATCGTTGTACGGCCCCGTACGACTCGGCACGAGTGTCGACGACACATTGTACCATGCAACATGTATTTCATATTGGACTCGTATATGCGACTTCGCCGACACTTCGGCAAGACTTTTGTATGATATTTCATGACTACTTTGTTTTCATTGTAGTTTCATGTTCTTCTATGCGGTTATTCTTGTGTGTGTGTATGTGTGTGTATGTGTGTGTGTGTGTGTGTGTGTGTGTGTGTGTGTGTGTGTGTGTGTGTGTGTGCGTGTGAGTGAGAGTTTGTGTTTGTGTCTGGGCAACCCTCCCCCAACAATCACTCAATCATTTAATAAAAAAATAACCACAAAACATCAGGAAAAAAATAAAAAATAAAAC